AATGTCCCCGTTGAGGGAGGACTAAATAATTTCTCTCCTGGTTATCTGGCCCCTCCCACATGATACCTGTTACTTCTCTGCAGAAACAAAAAAAACTCAACCTGTAAAAATACAAAGAAAGAAACCAGAGACTTCAACAATAATGAGGCGCAGACACGTGATACAGTAAAATATTATTTACTTCTCATTCACATTACACACATGTATCTATTGGAAATTAATATTTGCAAACAATTGCTCCTGGTAAAATAATGTGCAAGTCCTTTTCTTCTTATCATCACTCTGCCACCACTGCTGCTGCGGCCGTCTTCTTCTTCTTCTTCTTCGTCCTCTTTCTCTTCTTGCTTGGTGTACTGTCAGTCTGTGCGCAGGGCGTCACGTCTGCTGCAGGTGTCTGTTCGTCCTCTGATTCTGAATCTTCTGGTCTCTCCTCACAGGGTGGTGGACTGTGTGTAGTTGTTGCCTCAGGGCTGCTGTGATGGAGCAGACAGCCAAAGACAGATTACTAACAGATTGTACTGCCTCTCAGTGATGTGGCCATCAAGAGAAAAATGTCCACATCAGTCGATATATAGTTTGAAGACTGATTTTGCCTCGAAGTAAAGGCTGTTTCACACTTTTCTTTATGAGAATAGAAAAACATTTTATGAATCTGAGGTCAATCAATTACGGGTTAAACATCCTCCGTACCTCCATATGTATTACATCTATACATAGACTTTTTTAGGAATCCTAAATAACTAGGTTGCAAAATCAATATCCATGAAATTGCTGATGGAGTATCGCCCAGAAATATAAACCCTACAGCATTTATAACATTATATAAGAAGGACTTTACATGATACCTCAGTATTTACCTGATCTGAACAGCTTCCTGATTTATATTCGCAGCCTCACTGTGTTTCTCCAGCAGCGCCACAAAAAAGCCATGTGTGCGGGTTGTGGCGGTGCTGGCACGCAGACACTGAGTAAAGGGCTCCAGGCCTCGTTCAGGCCACTGAGCCAACAGAGGAACCAACCTGGAGGAAAAACAACACATATACGTCACACATTCAAGCAATAGTGATGTTCCAGATTCCAAGCTCTTGCTGCATTTCAGTAAAACACAGAAGGGAATAAACTAAATATAAATGGGAAACCATCATACTGGCAGGTTTGTGAAAAGTACTACAGGCAAATATCTGGCCAACGTACCATATCTCCTGACTTTCCTTTCTTTAGAACAACGATGAGACTTAAACAGAGATGTTCTGATACCATTTGTCCCTTTCCAATTCTTGGTCCTTGCATATTGTCTTATATCGAGTATCGGTTGGTCATTGTAACATCTCTACTTCTAGATTCTCATGACAAAGTCTTTTAACAAGCACTGCTGGAGATCCAAAATACATTACAGAAATAATTATTCCAGCCCAATTTATTACGCTAACAAAATGCAATGTATCAGTAAAATGTTCACATCAAGTGACCAAAAAGTGAAGCTCTGAATTTGACCAAACTTTGAGAAAACTTTGAGTAACAAATAGAGTGTTTCTCTAACACAGGGTGGACAGAGCACTGACATTTAATACTGAACTACTCTGTAGAAAACAGCCTCAATACAAATTGAAGGAATGATGCCAAGTCACATGACATAGACAGGTCAAAAGTGAATATGGCAGTATGAATATTTCGATTTGGATTCAGTGTTGCTACCTGAAGCTGGGGTTCTGCTGCAGACAGGATCTTATGACGTCCTCATTCTCCTGGCTGTGGATGGAGCAGGTGGAGTAGACCAGGCGTTTCAGGCGGGGGAACCTGAGAGCGTGGTTCAGGCACCGCAGCTGGAAGGAGGCCAAGGAGGCCAGGCGAGCCTGATCCTTCTCCTGGTCGGCAGAGGTGCTGTCCCGGAGGCACACCATACCTGCAGATTATACCATCATTAATATTTCCATTTTAACATGATATGTCTTTTTGTTGTAACTGTTAATGGTAAAAATACTAAAATATGACTACACACGGTTTTTTAAAGACGCCATGAAGCCAAAAATGAATTGAACCACTGGATTAACCTCGAACAGATGTATTTCAGTAATTTTGTGTTCAATGTAAAATCATCTGTAGAGTAACCTGTAAATATCTCTGTCAAGCAAAGTCAGGCAAAGATCACAATATTATGAAATGCAGAGTAGAACAAAATAAAATACAATTTTTAGTCAAATTAAAAATTCATGTACCTCAAAATTTTACTTAAATCTACTATTTACTTTCCACCACCGGCAATAACATGTAAGTAGGTTTGATGGAGCCACTCTGCTCCTGTGATGCTCCAGAACAAATGTTTAAAGCTCCACAGAGAACTGACTCTGACCCAGGCTGGACAGATCCAGGACATTAAACTTTTGGACCCAGACAGGGATGTAACCAGAAGTAGTGGTGATGATGCAGAGAGAAAATGATGAGGACAGTTTATATAAAGTGTGTTTTTTCAAGATAGGTTGTGATCATATGATGATATGAGTCACAGGTTCCATAAACCCTTTTAAGATAAAAGGATGAAACCAAGAGCAATGTCAAGTTTGAGGGTGTTTTTCTGGAGTGTTTGCTTTTCATATATGAAGAACGCAGCAGGAGTTCAGATGTGCTCACGACAACAGGAAAATGTCCAGAACATTCAGGCGAGAGGTGACATCTGGTTAGAGCGAGCAGGAGGCAGACATGACGTATAGATTCTGCTGCAGAAAGCCCAGTGGTTTTGTTTACAGCACATCAACACCAGCATCTTGACTTATCACATTATTACATTCTTCCACTTTCACGTTTGTTATGTGTTAGAAAAGTCATCAACTCTCTCTCGCTCGTGAATTTTCCAGTCATTTTCCTGCTGTATTCTCACGTGAGCTCACCCGGACATTCTACTGAGGAACTGTCTGGAAAAAATGTTGAAAAAGTCCAGAATTCAGTGCAGGTCTGAAGCAGCTTTAGATTAACTGGGATGTCAAAGACCTGTGAAGACAGCAGGCAGGTGACACCTGGGTCATGAACACACAGGGATGATGGATTACTGTACCTGATCCACTGCAGGAGGGATCCAGCAAGATGTACTCAACATCTTTATACTGCGCGGCCTCAGTGTCCACCTTCAGGAAGTCCTGGTTTGCCAGCTGCTGACAGGTGACCCCGGCTCGGAGCAGGAGAGTCGACATGGTGGCCAGTCGCTTGGCGTCCAAATCAAAAGCAAACAGCTTGCCCTTGTTCTTCATGATGGCGGCCAGGTGGCTGGTCTTGTTGCCGGGGGCAGCACAGGCATCTAGGACATGGCAGCCAGGTGGAGGGTTGAGGAGATAGGCGGGGAGGCAGCTGGCTTTGTCCTGCAGGATGATGTGCCCGGTCTTGTACAGGAAGTGGTCATGGAAGTCAGATTTAGGAGCGAGGACCACAAGCTCTGGAAGGTGCATGTCCCTCACAAAGTGTTTAGGCTTCAGGGTGAGGTCCTCCAGCCTGGAGGCGCGTCCCTGGTAGGTGAAGCCATCCCTCTTCAGGTAGTCCACAACGTCCTCCACGGTGGTCTTCAGGGTGTTCACACGCACGTACCTGGGCAGGTGGTCCCCGGCGGGCTGCTGGACACCGGCCGGGAGCAGGTCTTCGTTCCTGCTGACCTTCTTCTTCACCTTCATGCGGGCCAGCGCCGCCTGCAGCCTGGAGCGGTGCTTCATCATGGTCACCTTCCAGGAGCCGCCGCACTTCAGGCCCTGTCCCATCAGCAGGTCGTACACCAGCACCAGGGCCAGGTGCGGCCTCAGCCGGGTCTGCTTCAGCAGCTTGGTGGACTCGATGAGCTCCTGCAGGACGGAGGTAAACTTCTGGGTCTCGCACACCAGAGCGAACAGCTGCTTGATGTTGGAGAACTTACTGTCGTACACCAGCGTTTTCAAAGCGCCCTGCTTCTTCTCCGCCTTCTCCAGGATCTCTGCGGCTTTCACGTACAGAGCCATGGCCACAAACAACCCCCAGTTAGCGAGCTAACCAGGTTGGCAGGTTACTTGTAGTCGGGCAGTTCCTGGTGTTTAACTCGTGGCAGCTCTCTGACTCAGTCCTCGGCGCTGGCAGGTGGTTTATTCGTCTCCTCCGGGTTTTATAAACGCAGCTCATGGGTTGTTTTCCCTCCGCACATGGCACAGGAGCGTCGCTGCGGAAGTTTCCGCTGGCGCATTGTTTTACACGTAGTTGGTCTGTCCAGCCAATCACTGAAGACTACAGAATGACGTCAACAAATCATCACAACTCAACAAAAATACTTTATTAGTAAAATCTACTACAGTACACAATATGTGTAATGTATTTGACTGTACTCTCACACCTCTCTTTATTTAGGAATTAACTAATTCATTTTTTTATTATTTTATTTTTATACATTTTTACCTTTTTATTTTATGTTAGATATGAATACTTATTAAAATAATTGACAATGTTCAAACAGTTGGGTTTATTGTGGGAGAATGTGTTACCAAAACCAAAAAAGGAAAGATTCTTTTATCAGAAATATATCTAAAAAAATTACAGATGAATTGACTTTGTATAATCTCCCTTTAAAATGTTTTCTTCTCCAAAATAAAGAATGGGAGAACTGAATGGCCACCATCCAGTACTCACAATCGGTACCCTTTAAATAAACTTCAACAATAATATCACAATAATTGAAGAATTATTGATTTATAATTCATTAAATGTTCAAATGTGTATTTCCGGGTTATGCTTTGATTTACAGCATATCTCATCCAGATTTGGATTCCTGGAGTCACAATGGTATTAAATATTTTAAAATTATGCTTTTCTTATTTTATCAATCTTGTGTTTGGGATAATCTGCACATACTACTTAACTGGCTCTCCTTTCATTCTTTATGGAGACACTATTCCCAGCTGATTGCAGCATTAGTTTTATTTTTACCAACATGGTGTTGTAACAAAAAAAGAAAACTTCACTGACATGAATTAAAACACTGGGCCGTAAAGAAACTGTAGAGAAAAATGTCTTTATTTTATCATATATGAACATTCCCTGGGTACTTCCATGTGGATGACTGAAATTCATTTGCATCTTGAGAACAATTCATTGCTGCACATCGACACGACGGCCAATAAAAATGAAAGATGAACAAACTGTAAAATACAAATAAAACAAACAAGATCTTTACAAAAACAGCAGGAAAAAGGTGCATTCTCATTCAGTTTACTGTCATGAACCAACACAGTACAACTAATTAAAACTTTTACAAACGTTAAACTCTGACTGACCTGCTGAAGAGAGCAGAGAACATTTCTCCATCAAGATAAACAGTGTTCTTGCACATCTGATTTAAGCACCTTTACAATTACTTTGATGGTATTAAGGTAGAATTGTGTGGTTTTTTTAAATATAACCAGTGAGAGACAGACAACTTCAGATTTTACACATCAGGATTCAGATAACTTTTTTTTCATCTCCTCCTTTGTGACAGCATGAGATCTTCAGTGGAACTGATTTCAGTTTGAACTGAAAAAGCTGGAAAACGCAAATCCCTGTTCACTCCCCTCTCCTGATCCGTCTTTATGCATCAATCAAAGTTGGGAATACAGTTTCACAAGTCTATCAAATTCTGTTTTAACAATAAAGGTTAATTGCTTTGTGAAAGCAGAAATATGCTGCTTTTTACTTGCAATCATCTGAGCCCATACTCAGAGCTCTGACAGTCGGCCACTGGTTTACATTTTGGCTTTTTAACAGTCTTTGTCTTTAAGGAGTTCTTATATAGAAGCAGTCTCTCTGTGGTGTGAGGTGACAGGCAGTTTCTCTTGGCTCGTATAATAGATGCAGCCATTGGCCAGAGTCTGTCGAAGCCGCTTGAGGTGGCCGGTACTGCCAGTAGCTTCTTGGCGATGCCCTGCAGCCCAGGAAACCGAGCAGCAGATTTCCAAAACAGTAGACTGGAGTTGCACTCCAAAAGTGGTTCAGCCAGGTACACATCAAGCTCAGACATCTTCATGGTCTTTGCAGGTGGCTGGAGGAAGTTGAAGATGGACTTGCGCTTGAGTTCATTTCCACTGACTTCATCGCAGCTGTTTTCATCTTTGCTGGCACCTGATGCCTCCATTATTGTGTTGGTTTGGTTTTTCTCTTGGTCATCTGGCTCTTTTTTCAACTCCTTTTTCATCTGGTCTTTATCTGCTTGCACAGAGGCAGATGCTGAGACCGCAATGCTTTCTAATGTGGCTTCTATAATGGTGTGAGCCTGGTGCTTTGTTGGAGGAGTCAGGAAACCTGTCTGGTCATCCAGTCTGGCATCAGAAAATGGCTGAAAAAACAAAAAAATATAATATATATTTTTTTTTAATTGATGCACTCCATATAAACAACAAGGAGCTAAATATATATTGAGATAAATATCAATATTAAGATGCATTTTTAAGCATTCAGGTCAATCATCAGCTCTCTAGATAGAAAATGTGTGACAGAACCGTTCTCTGCTAATTCAGTACCTGCATTTTGATCCTAGGCTCAAGCACAGCTGCGAGTATCATGTCCTTCTGGTGAATTAGAGATTGAAAGTGTTTGTGGAGGCCCGTGCGCAGAGCCTTGTTGAAGTTGATGTAGTTGGTGACACAGCTCTCCAAGGTTTTATCCAGTCCAACGAGGGAGGGTATGATTAAAGACACGGTCACACCATTTCCTTGCAGGACCTAAGTTAAAAGAGGCAAAAGGGAAATGTTTGCACATGCTCTTCTACAAACAATACCTCTATAACAAAGACTTTTGGATGTATTTGTATTTAGGTGTTCATAAGGAAAACAGTGTTTTCTTGAACCAAAGCTCAAAAATGAATTAATAAATAATAAAAATCAATAGTGTGTTCCCTCCTGTCTGCAGGTGTGTGCGTGTGTGTGTGTGTGTGTGTGTGTGTGTGTGTGTCTGCCCGTCTCAGGCCCTCTTCAAACTAAACGATCACATTTATTTAGTAACTAATTGATAATATCGTTCAGGAATCCTGATCGTTCTGGTCACTTCAACCCCGATATCCCGACTGTGCACATCACCTCTCGTCTCATGTTGTGTGTGGCAGGTGGACTGCGTGCAAAATGACTTTTTTTCTCCTATGTGTTTAAATGCGTGTCTCACAAACTCTCTCTTCTTCAAAAGGTCCAGTGTTTAGGACTGAGAGGATGAATCAGCAGAGGTTGTAAGGTAAAGCTCATAATTAAATTTTAATAAGTGTATAATCACCGGACACTAACATTTTTGTGTTTCTGTCCTTTGAGAGTGGGTCCTCTTCCACAGAGGCCGCCATGTTGAACAGAGAAACCAAACACAGGATCTAGAAAGGGTCTTTTGAACTTAAGTTACCTGAGCCAGTGTTAATCTGTTTGAAGTTAGACGGTTGGTTGTAAGATGCAACTTCACTTGATGCCACTAAATCCTTCACAATGTATCTTTGCTTCATTAACGTTCTCTTTTACCTGTAATGCCTCCTCAAAGGGCTCAAGGAGACTCAGGATATCAATAACTTGCTCCCTCTTGACCATGACCAATGGAGGGGCACTGGCTGTGTCGCTGGCCTCTATGCGGGCCTGGGCAAGGAGCATCATGATGGCGCTCCAGGCCGACTCCTGCACCATGCGGCGTAAAGACAGCATCATGGAGTTCCAGCGACAACTACTGGAAGATGGGCACAGAGACACGTTGCACTCCCTCAACAAAACCTAAATAAACGAAATGACACAAAATGGTGATGTTAAAACAAATCAAGAAATATATATTTTACCTTTTCGAATCACTGTTGCCATAAAAAAATTGAATAACATATGCCCAGCATCAGGAATAAATTATGGAGTATTACCATTTATTGGACAGTTAACAAAGAAAATGCATTAGAAAATCTGGTGTCTGGGATTAAATGTTGTAAATAAATAAAGGATTCTAGCAAAAAATGTATTGTTGAAAAATTTAAATGTGAGATGTTCTGAGATTGATATGCACTTAAAACTTAATTAAAAGCAGAAGGCACCGTAGTGCCAGCTCTTGTAAAATGTAAAATCTGATAATCTCTAAAATAAAAAATACTTTCTGACAGGCAGTATGTGCCTTGTCAAGAAAAATGTAAAACATAGTAGAAAATAAATCTGCTCGTCTATTTCTCCTACCTCACTCCAGTAGGCACTGCTCCTGAAGAAAGCCACTATGTTGTTGACCTGTGAGAGCAGGTTCTCCACCACTCTGGAATTCTTCAGTGCCTCCTTGATCACTAGCTGCAGTGTTTTGGCCACACAGGTGATCCTGGTCCCAATGTGCTGATCTGAAAATGGGGACTCGGCTTCTGGTATCTGGTTTGACAAAAATGTCACTGTCTCCTTCCCATTTGGTTCTTCCCTGTTGGCTGAGCATGTGAGTTTGTAGTCGCAGAACAAATTGTTCTCAGTCAAGGTTTCTTTGGCCTGGGTGGTGAGGATGTAGCCGATGCTGCGAGGAAATATGCCGTAGCTCAGCAGCACGTCTTCGAGCTCTCTGGCCACGGCGGCACTGAGGTTCTTGTGGCTGAGGTGTCGGAAGGCCACCATAGGACGGCAGATCTGCCAGGAATCACTGACAAAGTGGAGCTGCACTACGACAACGGGCTCCTCCGCTGGTTGGGATTCATTCCCAGCCCAAAGGTCATAGGTGACATGAATGGCTTTCTCTCCATCTTTGGTGCTTGCAAGGCAGGCTTTAAGGTTACGGATCAGCTTAGGTTTGATTGTTGTTTCCACATCATTGTAAAGCTGCAGGCCCATGGCACGCTGGGATAGCCTGCTGTATTCAGGGCTAATGGTACTGATGAAATTCCTAAAGCCTGCGCCTTCAACAAAACTGTGTGGAACAAGGACATATTAATGTGGTGGGTGTGTGAGGAGGTGATCAGGTTTCGTATCAACATTTAGTAAACATTCAGATAACTGGCCTTTCTGCTTTAGTGCAGTCATTCAATACACAAACAAAGTTGCTTAAAAGACCAGGAACACACATGACATCGACCAAGGAACACAGACTGATGAAGTTATTTCTTTAACTTTCAAATGAACACAATCTGCCCCACAGGAACAAATAAACAGCAGCAAGCACTCAAAGTCACCTGAGTGGCAGCATGTCTTCAGCAATCATCCTCAGTGCTGCATTAACAAACTTTTTCTGGTCCACTGGCATGGCTGCTGGTGGAGCACCTGAGTTGGAACTGGGACTGGAACTCGAGCTGGGGGGCAAGAGGGGACACGGAGAGGCGATCTCTCTCCTTGATGCCACAGCCTCTGGAGGTGGAACGGCCACCTCCTGTTTGGAGTTCAGCCTGACCTGCAGCAGAGCAATAAGAAGGAGAATGAGACCAAGTCTGCCAGCTGGGGATATTTTTGGAAATAAATGCTAAAAAGTTATGCATCCAAAACCAGCTCTTAATTTGCAAGGTAAAAAAACACAACAGGACTTACTGGTTCAGCATCTAACACAACATCACACTTAAAGTCCACCTGTAACACAACAGCTAATGTTAATCCAGAATACTCTCAGGGCAGAAATATCTTATAGTTTCATTCATAGTCTGATCAGCAACCCACAAAATGTTTAAAACACTCACATAATAACTTTGCAATATCTTAAAATACCAGTTTTATGATTTAAAGAAAGCAGTGTAATACAATCACCAAGCATTTATTAGGAACTAACAGTTCTCTTTTGAGTAAACTTATTTTTGAAAACCCCAGAGATAAGAAATACTCAAACCAGCGCGTCTGGTAACATCAATTACACCAGATTTTCTCGCTTCTGATGTCTGGTGTGAACATGAATTAATCTGTATCTGCATGATTTTATGCATCTGCTGCTACACAACGGGCTGATGGGATAAATACATGAATAAGCAGGTGTTCCTAATAAAGTGCTTTGTGGGTGAATTTGCATTTTTCAAACTGTGACCAATAAACATCTACATCCCAGTGATGATTAATCAACAACTAAAAGGGGAAATGAGAAGCAACAAGTCTTACACAGTACATGTAAAAATCCTCTCAAAATACCTCTCCTTCCACAAACTGTTGAACATCAATGGAAATGCTGTCAGCCGCATATTTGAACAAGCCCAGATCCACCTTATGTTTCAAGTTGAAGTGCCAGTGATTCTTCACAGAGGTGTTTGTCCTTCAAGAGAAATAAAAATCACTTTCATCCCCGAAAAAAAATAGACTCACAAACAACCACGCGGCTGCTTTACATTGACCTCGTCAAATTTCACCACAAACAAACCCACCTTCCAGGCAGCAGCTTGGCGATCTCCGTCCACTTGTTTCCAAGAATGGAGTGGGCTTTGTAGAGGACGAGGTCTTCTTCATTGGTCCAGGGGTTCTTACTGAGCAGTGGGTCAAGGTGGTTGTACCAGCGAGAACAACAATCTTTCCCCAGTCGCCTTTTCAAGCACTTGGCGATAAAAGACCATTGTCTGTTGCCGTACATGCTCACCAGCTCTGCTAGCTGTCCAGAGCAAATACATGTGCAAATGCAGAAGTACAAAGTGAGATGGTACAATATTAACTAAAAACTTTTAAAGTTAGATCTCTAATCAGACTTTCGGTGTAATTTTTCAACCTTTTCATCTTCGTCTTTGGTCCAGTTGTCTTTCACTATATCAGGATTGAGATGATGATGCCAGCGGCGCCTACACTGGATTTCTGTCCGCCCCTGTCATGGCAAGAGGAAATTAACCCTTTTTTATATTAAAGCAGGTTGTTGCATTATTCTATGTTTTAATATTCAACATGGAGACATTGGTTAGCATTCAGAGATTGAATGTTTTTTTAAATTATAGATACATAGCTCCAACCTCTCTGGATTCACCCATTCCATTAAGCTTTAGTTCACATTGCTGATTAATTCATTCTCTTTCTCAACCGATTTTGTTTTTCGGAATACTTACGGGTAAAAAAGTGGCAATGGTTTTCCATTCGTCCCCAAATTTGCTGAACAGAATTTTGAGATTTTCATCCTGAACAGAGGAAGAAATCAGTTCAGATGAACTATAATTCAATAAAAGTTTTTATCAGGAACTCATTACAACAACATGGGTAAATCACAGAGACTTCACATTAGGATAATTGTAAGATAGCCATGTAGTTTTTATTGAATTTATAGTTATATTTAACATTAGCAAACAAATACATGTGGCATTTCATTTTCTTAAGACTAATCTGCCCTCTGCTAGCATGCAGCATCACATTTTAGTGGCCAGTGTAATAGTGTTAAGTGAGTAGCTCCAGATAACATCAATCAGTAAGTGTCCAAAATATGAATATCAGTGTTGTAAGGACAAAAGATGTTTAAATGTCTTCCTCTCACTCACCTCTTCCTGAGCCCATTTGACTCTCCACATGGTAGCATCCGTCTTCTCTGCTGTGTCCGAGTCGGTGTCGATGTATGGATTACTATCACTGTTTTCCTCCATGCTGCGAACCAAGATAGAGAATAATCAAAACAATATTAGTGGCTTTCGAAAATATAGAAATTACTAAGAGTGAGAAAACACATTGGAAAAAACATTAGACATCTCAGCAAAATGTAGACAGTGTACATTGAGAGATTGACACATTATATGGTTGATATTAATATTGCTGTTATTTTGACCAGGGTATTCAGCTGCAACACGCAACTTCACCACTAGATGTCACTTAATTCTACACACTGAACCTTTAACCTGGATATTCATTTATAAGTACTCATCCAACTCAGAGTTTCCATGAGTATTTACTATTTCACTATCGTGTCCCACAACCTCAGACACATGTTGTTGTGTATTAGGTCAACCGTCTCTGTGATGCACAGTATTTTGGATTGCTTTAAATACTAAGCAGATACTCTGGGAATAAACCAAGCATGCACATTGAGCTCAATCGCTTTGTATTACAGTTTCTGGTTGTGCTCCACAGCAGCGAGCTGACACAGAGAACTTCCGTTGTTAATTTATTTATCTATTTTCTAAATATTAATGACAAAGTACAATATTTACCTTCTCCATTAGGCTGCAACTTCGCCACAGTTTTGTAGGAGAAATTTATCGATCATTAAAAAAAAAAAAAAAGAGACTAGAACACAAGAGTTTTCCGCGAGAGTAAAGAAATTCCTGCATTGACTTCAAATGTTGGTTGAACTTTTCCAGCGTGCTGCCATGACACAACAGAGCAGCACCAGAGAAGAGGAGACACCGTCGATCCCACACGATCTCCACAGCAGAGCGACCTCTTCTCAGGCAACTACAACTATGTTTGACTTGAAAACACTACAGGCGGAGGACATGTCCTCCCCGAGGACACTCACGTCTCATTCCCTCAGACAACACAAAGCTAAGAGACACGTTCCCTCACTCACCCGCGCGACATGTCCTCTGTGTTGTCTCTGGTCTCCTCCACACTACTGCTGCTGCTGCACAGTCCACTTCTGTCCACACATACGTGGGAGATGCCGCCGCCACACACTCTCAATGAAAACGTGTGTTACTACAACACACAAACAGGAAGTCGCGGCTCCGCGTGAGTGCGGAGAGTTCGCGGGAGAACGGAGGGGTGCGTTCAAGAACACCACGGCCGCTCCACTGACTCCGGAAACGGAACAGCTGCGGTTGCTCAGATGCTTGAGACTTCACTCTGTGTCCTGTGGAGGATATTACTTTTAAGTCGTTAAACACTGTGTACACCATGTTCCATCTCTTGTCCGCAGCTTTAGTTGCCCTAGTTTTAGCATGACCATTGTTTGGAGCAATAACACACGAACATGATTGCAATGTGCTCAGAAGGAGTTGCAGGACACGTCCAGGAAAGTTACCAGCATCTGCCCCAGGTTCTGAAGGACAGTAAATAATGTCAGACCAGGTGTAGTCTTGAATGGAAGATACGCACACACATTTTGCTGTAAAGGTCAGGAGGAGCTCTTCCTTCTCCCACATTGACCAAAACCATATCAGGAGTTGTTATTGCGTTGAAACCAAAGATGATGCACTGTGCATGACTTGCAAGAGGAGATAAAAACATAACTGGAGTTAGGTAGAGATGGAGACACGAGGTTCAAGGTAAAGATGGTACCACATCGCCAAAGGAGGGACCAAGCAATGAGCGGCTAGTGCTAAACCGTGGCTATTCCCCGCCCATATTGACCAATCACGTTTATGCTCATGTTACAAAAACTGTGTGATACCAAATGTACAGCGACTTTTCCCAACTCTGGGTGGCTTACAGCCAGATTGTGTGAGGATGCCCATAGCTATGAAATTACTTTTCATTGTTTGGTAATAAATGTTCATTGATTACACACGGATTGTACGCGGATTGACTCGTCTTCTCTTTCTTACATCAACGAAAGATCTACTCTTATAAAAAAGTTTAGAAAAAGAACATCTTCTCTTGCAAACATTGATAGACAATAATGGTAAAGCATGAGTGAAGTTTCTAATAAAATTGCGGTGGAATTGCTGCCTTGTTGCTAAACTGAATTTCTATGAGCAGTTGTAGTTGTATGAAGAGTTGAAAGTGACAACTTAAAACAAGAAGCACTGTAAGACTCTGGGCCTCCTCTCACACAAAGATTGGAAACAAAGTTTGTCTCATTTTCCAGATCCAATCCACAATTGAATAAAGATCAATATATTGATTTGGCATAACATGAGATTACACCAACTACAAAATATTTGTGTCTTTAGGCATTTTTTAGTGTCTGACTGATTGGTAAAAAAAAAATGCCCCCAAATTCCCCAATTCTCCAAAACGATATATCTCAGAGCTCTCCCTTTATCTAAATGACACACATACACATGTAGGCTGTTCTCTTTCATAACAAAGTATGTAATATGTGTAAAATATTTTCATCTCCATTCACTGAGTCTCACTTAAAACAGTTTGGAGCCACAAAGATGCATGTAAGGCCTCGTTGCAGAATTCAAAGTGAATTATGTTTGCCTGGTCATGTGTGTGTGTGTGTGTTTTGAGGTTAAGTAAGTTGCACAGCCTTGTTCACTTTGCCCGTTTCAATCTCATCCCTTTCCTCTGCTCTCAGCGTTGCCAAGCAACTGTCAGTTCCTCACAGTTACTACGGTAACTTGCACCAGTGCGTCTCTGACCAAATGTACACGTTTATCTTCAGACCATATTTGGAATGTTTACCACTAACACAGCCTGTGTAAAGCTGTTACCTGTCATGTTACTAACCTTGGCTGCGGCTTGTGTTTATTTTTGCTTATATTGTTCCATCAGCAGGTCAAGGCCATGAATAATGTGTTGTATTTCACTTGTCTACCACTAAGTGGGGCAATTCTACAAAAATGTAGATTATGAGCTGCTTTTAAAGTCATATCTTTTCACCTGACTACCTTCCTTCTTCCACAGAACCCTCAGGACCTGATGATCACACATCATTTAAAATAACAACTGTTACTTTACACATGTACTATTTATATCTATTATATCTGGAATTAGCATAATTTCCTTTGATATGAATGATCTGGAGTTTGTAGTTTTTTTTTTAAATCAGGGAAGTTTCAGTGATGACATGTTCCTCACACAGTTGCACATGTTCACACCTGGATGCTGTCAGTGCAACCACGAGACAGGTTTGGGCATTGAACTAGCGACAAAAGTCCACTTCAGACACCGCCGCCTCCGAGACGTGACGTGTGTTGTGTGACAATTTTCTGTAATGCAGTTGTGTTTTGACCCTCAGGGCCACCGTAGTACCACTTTGTCAGTAACTTTATTCAATTCATAAGACTAAACAGTGCACATAGTAGTGCCAATAGATAGTTTACCAGAAATGAGAGGTGTGCTTTTAAGTTGAGGAGAAAAATATCTGAAACGATGTCACATGGAAATAAAAACACAAATGGTGTACATCACTGTGAAATAAAACTAACAATGTTTTTATCTACAGAGTGTTTCATTTGTTTATTGTGGGTTCAGCAGTTCCACTGTGAAGTGTTTGTAGTGTTCACAGATGAATACAGTTTACTGACACCTTTGGACACACACACACACTGTGTATACCAAACCATCAGTATGTCACGGTTGAGATACCACTGTGTTACAGGAGGGAAGAGGAGCTCCTGTGATTGTTGCCAACAGAGCTGCAGTAATGTTATCACCTACTCAAGTGGTCTGACAGGTTTGAGTCCACAAACACACAGTATCTGAAGTCCAAGGTTTAAAATCACAAGTAAATTCAAGTATTATCAGCAGAATGCGCTTTAAGTAACAAAAGGCTCTACTCAAGTACTCCTTACTATATGTGATTAGTATTGTTAATGCAGTGATGCACTGCTATATACTGTTGGACTGACGGCATTTCTAGTTATAAGTGAGTTAATGTGCAATGTTGTATGAATATTCAGCTTATTGAATAAATGTTCTACATGTAAAATGTTTTCTTTCACTATTTCACAAGAACTCAGTTTTTCCTGAAAGATGCATTCTGTTTTAGAAGCTCATCATGTTTCAAATAACTTTATTATAATAACAGCTGAGTTGTGCACCCATGTCTAAATATTAAATGGAAAAGTTAAATCAAAGTACTGCAACAAAGAACAATTACATGCTGGTTAATTATCAAAAACAATTTTTCTACTATTCACACGTCATTGTGTTTAATGGTTCATTCAAAAGAACATGCCAATATTTAGACATGTTTAATTTGCTAGCACGTTTACTATGTACACACACACACACACATACACACACATGGATTTTTGCTTCTGCTGTCATCAGCCCATAATGCTGCTGCTGCTGGCAGCGTGACAGCTCTGTGTTTACAGGATCAGTCAGGGAGAGACAGCTTGTCACGCAGGGTTACTTTTTTAGAAGGCAAATGTGAACAAGGAGAGTCAGAGAAGCATTTGTCCCTGAGAGCTTTTACATGAATCAATATAATTTACACCGTTTCCTTCATTCATACAATTAAAGAAGTTTTCTGAGGAAATACATTGTGATTTCCCTGTTAGTGTATTTAGTTTTATAGAAAAGCATCTGATCCAGTATTCTGAGAAATTAAAAGTAAATAGATGAATAGTAACAGGCTTTCTTCGGAAATTGTTGCTTCTTTAATATCAGATGAATAAACAAGACTTTATGTACATATGAAAGACAAGGACATCAGCCGTCACTGCTAACATCAAACTCCATCCATCACTAATAAGGCAGAGAGGTACTTCATGGTTTACACTGATAAAATCCCATGGCTGCAGAACATAATCCTATTGGTGCAGTATATTTACAGTATTTTCACAACATGAAGTGTTTTAGCCCCATAGACTGTACTTAACGATGGATGGCATGACAGCTCCACTAACATAAAGCCAAAGTGTCATAAGTCCTGCCTCCCATGTTAGTGGAGCGAAGGTAAAAAGTCAAAAATATGTAAAATGAACATTTCTCAAATATGATTTCTGTCTGTGTTCATTTTTTCCAACATGCGATGCAAAACCTGACAGTTTGTATCTGGGATACTGGAAGGGAGTGGAGACACGTCGTCCATCTTTATATATAGTCTAAGTTGTAGCCTGTTACATATCATGAAATAAAACTAATTCATATCACTATCTATAATAATGTCCAGACAAATACATGTGAAAACTTTCCTCAGTTAAAAAGCATTAAAATAAAAGCACAATTCACATAAACCACATAAACCACACAATCTACATCATGTGCACACTGCTGCGTAGTTGAGTGAAATTATAAGTCTGCGTCAGTCATTATTTTTCTGATGCAAGACTGAAATTCTTTTTTTTCACCTTCTTCGTTTCTTTGATCAAATATTTTATTTAGGTTTTTAAGGAGGAAAAAAAACATTTGAATCCATTTTTTCACCACTTGCTTCATAAACTTGTGAAGACATGGCACTTTTCTGTTTTATGTATTGTTTTATGTGGTAAGAAAAACAAATGAACAGGAAGCATGGGGAGTTTCTGCTGCTCAACCAAAACCTGTCCTTGTGTCACAGAGGGAAGCAGCAGTTTCCCTGAGAAATCTAATCCTGCACAGTGTAAAATCAGGTCAAAGCCAGTAGAGGCTTGAACAATCTGGCAAAAACATTTCACAAATATCTGATGTTAACAAACAATTCAAAAGCTATTTTTTTACAAACTGTCTCATGACCATTTTTTGATTTAAATTCATTTCATTTTCTGCATCTAAATCTCAGTTTTACAGCAGACTGGAAGACAAGGGTTGTGTTTTTATACCCCTCTACACAGATGTGTGTAAAAAACCTTTAACATGTTCTTCATTCCTTAGCAAATGAATATAAAGTCTCTCCCACATCTTCTGAGCCCTTCGTATTAAGATCCCCCACAACCTTTTCTGAGGGCAGGCCTGGGATATATCCTGGTAAAAAACATGCAGACAGGCGATGAATTAAAGAAAAACCCTGAAAAACGCGTAGAGAAAGAGAATGAAACGCTTCCACCCATAGGGCACAGGCATGAAACTGATCTGAATCAGATGCTTTGGCCTTCACAGTCCGCTGGTCTCATCCTGACTGAACAGAAATGTGAGATTTTAGGCAGCTCTGTCCACCATCAACATCAGAACCACATGAGGGAATGTATTTTAGAAAAATAGCGACCGATCCATCCAGAGACTTGCAGAATCAACTTGCACCAAAGTTGTTCTGGTGGCTCATTACATTATCAACACATGACCAAGACGATTTACTTTTCCTTTAATTTGTCAAACGTCTGTCTTTGAACCTTACAAATACTCCATCACAGGCATTTTGTGGGTACCATAGTATGTGAGGGGCTCTTGTTTCCAGGACACCTGAACCCAAACGTCTCACAAAAAGCTGTCGTCGCTGCCGACAAAGGAGAAGCCGTTGAAGGCGTTGTTGCAGCTGGTGCTGGCGTTGAGCTCCGGCGTCCGACTCACCGAGTTGGGAACCATCTCTCTGGTGAACTCTGGATCGATATGCTGAGTGTCGGCTGGACCTTTCTGAAACATGAGATCATCAGGTTATGAGGTGAAGTCTCTTCTGACTTTTAAGGACGCTAAGTTTTTTTACTCGGGGTCTAAATTCACCTTCAACCTTTTATTTTTATTTATTTAGTTTCTTTTTT